GTCACACTTTAATATAATTTTTGAACTGATAATAAATTGTAAAAATTCGACTTGTAAAAATTATATTAATATGAAATTATTTTAAAATGAAAAGTGTATAGAATAAAAACTAAAGCAAGATTTCACAATGACAACATAAACTAAACCTTAACTAATGTTCACTTTAGACTAATGTACACTTTATTGTCACAATCAGTTTCATAATACCTACAGTTCTTTTCAGTATTAAAAGTAAACTTAGGTGTTTCAATTAAATGGGTTGGTAATTGTGTTACCTTATTTTGCTTGTATGTTAATTAGTATGTAAAATTGTTAATTAATATTAATTATGTATATATCAAAAAGAAGTAGTTCTTTAAATTTCACAAAAAGGGGAACTTTTACTTATTGTTCAAGTATCTATATGTATATAAATCGATTAAGTATAGAAAACAAGAAAAAACCAAAAAGGTATATAGAAAAATATAGGCTTTAGACCAGATTGAAGGAAAACACTGCTTGTCCCATATGAACTTGAATATCTTTAGTAATTGAATTTTCCCTGCCTCGGAAAGGTTTTTTAGAAATATAAGTACCATATTAATACATTAGTTGGGAGCAGAAAAACTAAGATTAAGATATGCCTCAGTCAGATGTATCTCTTGAGGCAAGAGACTGCGCAATATCATTTTCATCGCTAGAGATACTTTGATAGCGTTCTGCCAAAAAGTTTGCAATGCCTTATCGGTTGATATTATTTGATCTTGATGTTTTAGATATTTAATGGCATTTCTCTGTGTAGTGCAACCAATTTTTCTAATTTTTGTCAAACTTCCTTTGAACTTGTATTATTGATTGTTGACAAAAATTGTTGCCATAACTATTTCGCGCTGTATAGACAGCGATAATACTGGTATCTTTTTGGTTACTTGTTTTGTTTTGCCGATGAATAGTTCAGCACTTTTTAAAACTAATTCTTTAAATAGCCTGATGGTTTCATTAATATCATTTGTTATTTGAATATTACATATAGTATTGTCAATATACTGGGAAAAAGCATTCCAATCTGCCTTATTCGTTTTTCATTTTGAAGTAAATTGCTGTGGCTTCTGTATATGGTTTATATTTTTAATAAGTATTGGAAAATGGTCACTTCCATATTGTGTATAACAAAACTTCCCAGTTCAGATTAATAGCTAAATGTAGATAACGTAAAAATAAATCAATAGCGGACGATTCTCCTGTCGATAAATTAAATCTTGTGGGACTACCATTATTTAAATAATTTAATTTATAGTCAGGTATGATGTTTTTGTATCATTGTACGTCTTGAAGTTGTATCTTTGGAGTTCCAGATTGTATTGTGCCCATTAAGATCTCCGAGAATAATTCATGGTGCTTGGATTTGGTCTACAATTCCTTGAAGTTCTTCGTAATTAATATGTTTATTTGGAGGTAAATAAATATTACATATATGCATTTTTTTACCAGGTTCTGTAATCTTAACTGCTAGTGCTTCCAGATTAGTTGTAAGTGGAAATTGGTTATGATCTATGGATATTTTTACTAAAATTGCAACTCCCCCACTTGCCCGATCTATATTAGTTCGGTCTTTACGAAAATATGTAAACTGTTTTAAAGAATATGGAATAGAAGATGCAAGATTTGTCTACAGGAAACCACTGTAGACAAATAATTTCGGGACAGTGTTCTTATTGAATGAGATTGAGCACTAGTAAGCGATGATGGAAAAGTCTACCAATATTCCACTGTAAAATAGAGTTGAAGTTGAATGTTTCAGTTCAACAGAGTTCGCTGTCAGTAGTGTCTTGCCCGAGAAAACCTAGCAATTTGGTTTTTAGCCTTGTAAAACAATGTATTGTAGCTTTGTCTGAAATACATTGATATTAGATTGTAAGCAAATGTATGAACTAACAACGAGTTGTTATCAACAGGTCCTCGTAGACACTTCGTCTCAGGACCATTTTACTCATGTAGAGTCATACGCCGCCATATTACCTATCCAACGGTAACTTAACCATCACAAATTAGAAATACTAATAATGTAAAACAACTTCAAATTTATAACATTTAAAGGGTTTTTACCCATATATTTTGGTGGCTACTAGCATGTACAACCGTTTGCACTGATGATGGATTGTTTAATCCGAAAACGTTTTGCAATGTGTTTGTGATAGCCCGTTTGAGGCATTTTTATATACCTTTTATAAAGGATTTTAAACAAAATTTTTTTGTGATATATGGTATACAGCCAGCTACAGGAACTTAGTTTCCTCGTGGGTGATTCTTTCGTTATTGCTTGTAAAGTCTGTGAAATTATCTTTATATTTTCGGCTGTAGCAGAAGATTCCAGTAGAGTATTTTCGTTGGTTTTTAAATATTGAGTTGCTTCAGTAACAGAAACAGGCTGTATAATTTGCATTGATGTAGAATTAAACGTGTTTGGTGTGGACACTTGTGGAAATATTTCGGTATTTTTGTTATTTTCATCACTATTAGAAGTTTGGCTAACTTGATTACAAGTATTAGTAGGAAAGTTAGAAGTTTGAACAGTAGAGGTGGTTAAGGGTTCTGAAGGCTGAGAAGCAGAATTTTTATTACTTAAACAATTAATAGCAATGTGTCCTATTTGTTTATAAATATAGCATGTCATACTATCCTGCGAAATGAATATCCTATAACTAGAATAATCACAATTTACAACAATTGAATCTGGGATTCTCATGTTATGCGGACTAATAAACACTTGTCTTCTAAAACGTATTATATGGCTATATTCTGGAAAGGAGGCACTGCTTTTTAAGAAAGTGATTTGAGAAACTAAGTTTGGCCCGAGATGTTTCAATTCTTGAATGATTATGTCATGTGGGATAGATGGACAAACATTTGATAGAACTAATCTTTCTGCTCACTCTTAGAAAGAGTGAGTAAATTTAAATACCTGGGATCGTGGCTTTTTGAAGACTGGGCATCGGACAGGGAAGTAAAATGTCGCATTGAGCAAGCTCGACAAGCTTTCGTAAAATTCAAGAAGGTACTGACTTGTTCTGAGTTCGATCTTCAACTGAGACTAAGGTTTACTAAGTGCTACGTATGGTCAGTGCTGCTATATGGCGTAGAGGGCTGGACACTCAAAACGAGGGATATAAACAGATTGGAAGCTTTCGAAATGTGGCTTTATCGCCGTATCCTAAAAATACCATGGACAGCGAAAATCACAAATATAGATGTCCTTAAAAGAATAAACCAAGAACGCCAACTTTTCGAAACCATCAAGAAAAGGAAAACGGCGTATCTAGGTCACATCATGCGAAATGAAAAATACCAGTTCCTCCAACTTATAATCGAGGGTAAAATTGAAGGCAAGAGAGGAATGGGACGCAAGAAAATGTCCTGGCTCCGAAACATAAGGCAATGGACAGGGATTAACGACATAAAATCTCTGATACATATTGCAAGAAATAGAGAGTTAATGGAAAATGTGATCGCTAACATCCATTAGTGGATTTGCATCTGAAGAAGAAGAAGAATCTTTCTGCCGGCATTATAAGCTTTCTGACCCTGACTATTTCTTCATGTATCTCTAAAGACCTAAAGTTCGTCATAAAATCCTTAACAGCTTGCTTGCTATTTAAATCGATACATATTTGATTGTTAGATAGAGAAGACATGAATAAGATGTTTTTGGGATTTATTAAATAACCTAAGGGTATAAGGTAATCTTGAAGTTGTACGTTAATAATAGCGCGGAAAAGTATTGCTTGTTAAAATAGAAAATTAACGAAACTGGTTGCGAAATACGCAACTTTATGCTTTAATAATATATGTGGTATAAAACTTCCAGTTTAAAGTTAGTTTGCTCCCTTTAACTATATTTAAAAACTAGTAGTTTCACTGGTAAAAAGTAAAATATCAAGGGCCGAGACACTTCGCTTTTACAACTCATTAACTTACTGGTACTAAATTAAAAAAGAAACTTTTAACTAAAAATCAGTTTGCTTTTTAATAACCAACGAGACTTCTACTTTAAATTTAAAAGCAATGAATAGTTGATAAAATTAAATCTTTTAACGAAATAGTAATAGTCTGGCTAATTGACTATGCCAAAGCCATTATACAATATAAAAAACGAAATAATCTCTCTTTGCCAACCATTTTCTATCCACTCCTGAATGTAGGTCTTTCCCAATTGCTTCCATCTCTCTATCTTGCGCCAATCTAATCCACTGTTTGCCTGCCACTGCTCTTATGTCATCTACCCATCTTTTTCTCTTCCCATGGTTCTTGTTGTTGTCCTTGGTCTCCATTCTAGAATTCTTCGTGTCCATCTGTTGTCATTATATCTGGCTACGTGACCTGCCCAGCGTCATTTCATTTTTGTAATTTCTACCACAATATCCCTAATCTTCGTTCTACGTCTTATCTCGGTGCTTCTAATCTTGTCTCTCAGTGATATTCTAAGCATGATTCGTTCAATTGCTCTTTGCGTTGTATCTAATTTTTTAGCAGATTTTTTTGGTAAGGGCCACTATCTCCAAGCGGTAGGTACAAACTGGTAGTATGCTTTTTCTTTAAGTTTACAGGAATGGAGGTGTTTTTCAAGATATATGGTAGTTTGCCGTAAGTACCCCATGCCAGTTGTGTTATTCTTTTAATTGCAGCATCTTGATTTGGTTTTCCTAGTTTGATCACATGACCTACATAATGTTCAACATTTTCTATGGTATGATTTTGTATTTTTATATTTGTCTAGTCTCGAATATATATAACTAAACAGTAAACATTTTATTGTGTCTTTTTAACTACATAGAACTACACAACTACAAAGAAAACATGTATGAGCATCTTTCTCAAAGTATCCTAGTGAATGAATTTACTGATCTTTACCTACAATCTTCCTACTTAACTGTATACGAAGAATTAAAAGAGTTACAATTTTATGACATGTATTTACTTTAATACTTTAAACAACATTTAATATAAATATTTTTTTGTTGCAGGACATCCTTGTTTATTGTAACAAGCTTCGTCTACGCCAAGCTCCTAGTAGTCATATGCATCGCCTACGTCATTTCCCACATTGTAACACACAACATACCCCTCTATTATTACGAAGGCTTTTTTACGTACCTCTACGGTTTGAGTATCCTCTTTTTACTCTATGTTTTCTGTTTCTTGCTACAAGAAAGTTCTTGTTGTTCCGGAAACGAAAAGCAGCCGAAACCGGTACCGAAAAAGAACGGCAAAGAAAAGGAGGTAAAGATTAAAAAAGAAAAAGAGAAGGAGGAGAAAGAAAAGAAGAAGAAAGAAGCAGAGGCACAAAAGAAGCAGAAAAAGAAGGAAAAAGATAAGAAGGATAAAAAACAGGAGAAGGTAGAATTATTAAAAGTTTAACGTTCTAACAGTTTTGAGACGGTTTTTAAAATCATACAGTTAAATAAACTTTTTAAGATACGACCACTTTTTTAAAATACTATTTTTTAAAATTATAATATACATTTTTTAATTTCAGTCTTACTAAGTAAATAACAAATACCTTGTTTCTGAATTTTTAACAAATTTTATTTATATTATTTTAAATAATGTTCAGATGCATTCTTCTTTTTCTGTGTCTGTTTTATTCTCGGTGGGAGCATAGGCGTTTATGAAACTGTAGCTAAAGAATGTTTCACGTTCTCTAAGAACACATACTCTATGATCTATAGCGCCAAATCCTATTATAGGTTACTAACTTTTTTGCTAATTACAAAGCCACCAAAGCTAACCAAAGATATGGTTGCATTTAATGGAAGCTATAGTATATTGGATTTAAATTCTTCTGGATAATACCGGCCTCTTCCATCGTACCTCTTGTAAAGTTGTTATTTCCATATGACATATATTTGTTAAAAGTGTTAAAGAGGCATTTCATCACTACTGCATAGAACAATGGGTCGTCTACACATGGTCCGCCTGGTTTTTGTTTTTTCAGCTCTCGTGAAAATATTTTTCCCAGGATAGGGTTGTTAGCCCTACGCCCAACCCCCGCCTAGGAGGCCAGGGGCTCTTCTGTTAGGGTTACCATACCTTAGTCTGTTTGAGATCACAGGTGCTAATTTATTTTCCACCTACCCACCATACAAAAACATACAAGAGGAAAATAAGACTTTTCCATTGTTAGCAACAGCTTGAAGTAAATTGGAAGCTCTGAACAATTAATATCTAATTTTTTTATGTTAAGAAATATTCCATATTAAATTATTTAACTCTTGTTTACGTTTATCTGGTTAAAAATTAACTTGAATGTTACATTCCAGACAAGACGTTTGACGCAATGTCATACAATTCCTACAGTTATTTCAATATTAAAGACTCATTATCTCATACCGTTTGAGCTATTTCAGGGTAACAATTAATTGGTTTCAATTAACGCACTCGGAAATGTTGGGTGGTTGCGTGTTCCAGAATTGGGGTGGAATCCCTCAGCATTGTGTGTATGTATAATGGCTGACAATCAACTTTATAAAACAAAAAAAATTTAATTTGCTTGATACCGTTTTGTTGTTCATTTGCCTAATTGGTTACACCGATGAATAAAATTGTTAATTTAAACCGATTGCCATATTTTTCTGTTAGTACTTCTCTTTACTATATATAGATATATATCACATATTTCGTGTCGCTCTTATTCACAGTACTGCCAGATAAAATGGTCTGAATTTTCTTAAGGCACTGCAGTTTGATCAAAATGCAGTATGGAATCATCTGGTATTTCTTATTATTTCGAGAATTAAAATATATATATATATATATATATATATATATATATATATATATATATATATATACGAAGTTAAAGAATATTAATTTTAAAACAATTTAACCACCAATTCATAAAAATTAAAGAAAACGATAAACTCTTGAAATAATAAACTGAAACAACTTGTTTTAATGGTAATAACAAAAAAATTTTCAATGTGAAACACAATGTGATAAAACAAATGCTCCCTAGGGTTAAGGTCGGTTGAGCAAGCAGGTCACGCCAGAACCGTGATATGTTCTGCTTAAAAGAAGTCTATAATCATTCTGCTGGTTTGTGCTTCAATTTTCTCCCATTGCAGCTCTTCAGAGCTTAACTACAGGTTTTAGAACCAAATCGAAATACCTACGGACCACGGTCAAAGTTGGTTTAATGAAACTTAAAGAAGTACTTTTACCGATCATAATGCTTCCTTAGAACATGACACTTTCTTTTTTATATCTGTGAACAGATCTGGTAATTTCCGTTTTGGCTTGTCTTTTTACAAGCCAATATAAAAATACTTACGATATAAATAGTTACAAGGATTTATACCAAAATAATAAAAAAGAAAAACTTACATATGTCTTATTCGTTTATAAACTCTGTTTACAAGTGAGAGATGCTACAAAACTTTGTAACAAAAAATTGTTACTGCATGGAGGTAAACCTCCATGATTAACCTCCATGCCTCCTCTACCTTAAGGTTTATCCAGAATTGGGGTAAAACAATGGCAAATAGAAGCGCAAGATCGTAGAGTAGAGGATAGAAGGCGATAGTGGATTCGGCGAAGACTCACCCCAAGTTGTAAAGCCAGTGAAGAATAAGAAGATGGAGGTTAACCTTCTTAAAAAAAACAAAGCAAACTAATGTCAAATTTTATTAGATAGTACAATATTAATTATTACAAATTCTTTTTGTAATGAAAGCAAATTATTATTATTAAAAAAAGTCTATCTTTACCGTACTGCACCATTAACTGCAAAACTGCTAATCTTCCATAACGTAAGACGAAAAATAAAGAAACATCACAAATTTGACGAACAATTTGGACCCACGCTGAAATCAATTGCCTCTGGCAACGACCTCAGCGAGAATCCTGTAATTCTTAAAAATAATTCGCTTCCCAACTTAATATAAACAAAACATTAACCGGAATATTTATTTGAAATACAGAATATGCCTAAAAATGCCGAGAAAATACGCATCTGAGAAATATAAACAAACTTTTAAAACGTGTTTATATTAACTTGGCGACGCAAAAGGGATCGAAATATATTTCGGGTATTTTAACCTGTAAGATAGGAAACATTGAAATTATTCTTTGGTGTTTTAAATAATTTATGGTGTATTATTCTTTGGTGTTTTAAATGTGCAATAAAAAAGTAAAAGTTCCTAATTAAGAATTCAAAGTTGGCCCCATTTTCAATCCCCGGGTGTGGGGCTGGAAGTGGTGTTTAATGTCATTCGATAGATTTTTAAAAAATATTAAAATCGTGTTTTTCAGTTTTTCTATCTGGTATTAATTTCGTGAAACATCCTACTGTGTCGCTTCTTTTGGCACACCCTATATAAATGACTACAGTTTCCCGGTGTGTTGGTATATTTTTTAGATATCCTGCTACTTCTTGGATCTTTATAAATACTTCTACAAGATATGTCTTTATTATACGAAATTAGATTGAAAAATAAAATAATTTAATAGATATCAAATGAAATAATATTAATTTGTTGAAAATTGTAAATTAAAATAGATAACTGTATGATTTTAAAATCATTCTCCAGTTTTTGCAACTTATAAGATCTTGTTAATGTCATGTTTGTAATTAGTAGATCGGTGTTTGTACTAATAGCTTTATTTCAATGTAGTTTCTTTAATTTTCGTTAAACAGTTTGAGTTTCCTCATATCACAGTTTTGTTTTTCATCTGGATTTTAATATAGTGCGTGTAAAATTAGATTTTTTCATTTACGATATGTAAACTTTGTAAAATATTGTTTATGAAATAGATTCCTTGGCCACTATTATTGCATAGTTTGTATTGAAATGCGAATAATCATTTTTAACGCAAATATAAATTTCAAAAATAGTCCTATGACCGATAAAATAGCTATAAATATTCACATAATTCAGCTCAAATTTTATATGATTCAAACTAGCTATTAAATTTGTTTTTAAGAAAATTAGTAATGTGTAATATTTTATTCTGCCTGTCCAAAACAAATAATTTTGAGTTGCCACAAAATAAATACCGTGTATGGTAAATGTATGGAACCCCTGAATTATTTTAAAAGCAGCTAGCAGGATAAATATAAAATTTGTGTTATAGAGGTAATATTATATGGCTGATCTTCACAAAGAAACTTATATGAGCTTTATTGACTACGTAAAAGCGTTCCGCAATGTAAAGTGGTATACAACTTGGCGCATACTCAAAGAAATAAGCAGCCCAGAATTAAAACAACTACGTCAACAACACAGCAAAAGTCAACAACACATATTTCGACAACTCTAAACTAAAACGCGGCATTTGTCAAAGACGTATTAACTCCCCTACGCTATTTAATATATACAGATTCGGAAAAATTAATGTTGTCGGAAAAATTAAATTAAGTCAATAAAAAAAAATTGCAAATAATTCGAAAAGGAAGCATTTTACGAAAATTACCAGAAGAGAATTTATTTTGATGATATATGCCTAACAAAATTTACTTCAAGCAATTGGTGAAATTGTTTTTTTTGTTCTTTTTTTTTGTTTTTTTTTGTTCAGCCCATGGACGTATAAACATAGATGGACACAGCAATAAGATACATTTAACACACAATGTTTTGAAGCTTCGATAGAATGTGACGCTTCCGCAATGAGTATAAGCGTGCTTGAATTTTTATTCGCGTGTAATTATTCAGATTTTAAAAATTGGAAGTAGTAATAATGTATAAAAACACTTTCAAAGAATTAAAAAAAAACGAGAGTTTAACTATTAACAAATCACGTCTTTGTGAGAAACACACAAACCTACATAGAAAAATAAATGAGTTTTATTCATTTCACTAATTTATTTGTATCCATGAGAAATATTAAATTAAAAAGGTACTAAACAGATCATTTTTAATCAGATGAAATGTCTACTAATTTCATGAACTCATATCTTATTCAATACATTAATGAACATAAATAAACCCAATGGTACGCCTATTAAAATGTAAACAAACACGCTTCCTCATTTCCTCATCTTCAATAATGTAAATTGTATGTACCTACTTACAGATGAAATGAGAGATCGGGATTTAAATATTTCGTTTATTTTATTTCACTTTTCATAAATATCACTCAAAATACAGCCAAAATATCAAAAAACAACTTTTCCTCATCTACTGTAAAAAGTAAACAAACATGGAACAGCATTTGAAGTTTGACGTAGATCCATAAGACAGAGAAATGTAAACAACCATTGCCATTTATAAATAGTTTTCAGTGCTTCTATATATAAAATAATTTATTGATATCTATTATACGCTATTATTAAATGATAATGCACACTATGTGCACACTTTATATTTTGATTACAATTAAATATATTAATCTAACCAATA